CGGGCAGTTCTATTTGACGATATATATATATTGTCCTTTTCTCCCTCTCTTCCTACGGTTTACCGGGCAGTTCTATTTGACGATATATATGTTTATAAAATTTTAATATTCGAACCATTAATTTTCCATCCGCTGACTAAGTGTGACCGATAACCGATAACGTTTTTCATCTTGTGTCTCTTTTAACAGGAAAAAAAATGAAGATAAGGATAAAGATAACATCGAATAAGTCGACGAATTGAACAGAAAAAAAAAAAGAAATGGCGACGTTCAGCGTCCGATCTTGTTCATCAGCGGCGGAGGTTCACGTGGCAGAAAACGTTTTGCTAGATGATTTATATCGACAATGGCAAACGGCTGAGCCATCCGACGAGGCGGAGGTGGTTCTCTCTCTCCATCCTCCCTCCGCCATCAACCGCATCGAGGTGATTAACGCGGGAACCTCGTTATTCGAAGTCTATGGCCTTCGAGAAGAAGCGCAAGATTGGGAAATTTTGCTGCCAGCTCAGCAGCTGATGTCCGTTAAAGATGTGGTTAATCAGACCAACCGATCAAGGGAGGCAGTCTATGACGCTGGCGGGAAACTCACAAGGCTAGCAACGCAGTACAAGTGGCAGTTATTCAAACTGGTGTGCAGACAGCCGTTTGGAAGTGGGGATAAGATGACGACGATTGGATTATCGAGGGTAAGATTTGCCACGTGTCCAACGGACGAAGCGGTGAGAGCAGCGGCAGCGGAGGCGCGGGTACAGGCGCGATCAAAAGCTGCGCTGGCAGAGATGTTCCCGGAAGCTGCTGCTGGTGCGGGTGCTGGTGGTGGTGGTGGTGCTGCTGCGCCCAGGCAGCAGCGGCAGTACCCATGGAGGGAGCGTCCTCCACTCCCTCCTCATGCTCCTCATTCTCCTTCTCCCTCTGCTTATCCCTCTCTTCCTCACCATAGCCGCCGTCTGACTCCCTCTTCGGCCACGTCGACATCGCCGGGAAGAAGAGCGGACGACGACAGCGAGCAGAGTCGAAGTTATGGCGACGAAGGGATGGGGAATGAACAATTGGAGGGAGTAGCTAGAGGAGGAGGAGGAGGAGGAGGAGGAGGAGGAGGAGGAGGAGCGGGGATCGGCAAGGAAGAGAAGATGTCTACTCGTTATCGTGATGGAAAGCCAGTTCTTGTTATTGGACCCGGCAATAGCGGCACGGATGGCGGCGGAGGAGGAGGGGGAAGCGGAGCAAGAGGAAGTGGTCGTGGGGAAGGAGGAGAAGGCAGGAATGAGCAGAAGCGCGCCGACGAGGTCCGCCCGAGTTTTAGTCGAAATGGCGACAAGCTAGGTGGGAAACCCGTTCTAGTCATTGGGGGTCACAAAAGTGCCACGTCGGATGAGGAAAGGAGGAGAGGAGGATTGGCAGAAGGAGGTGGTGCTGCTGCGGCTCCTGAGGCTTCTGGTGACTGGAGTAGGAGAGGCCACGTCAGCAAGAACGAGGAGCTCGGGAACGTGACCGGGAGTGCTGACGTGGCAGGCAAAGCTGCCGGGTCAGGTGCTGGTAATCGTGCCGACGTGGCGAAGGGAGACGAACGAAGCACCGCTGACCACGGGATCGGGATCGGGATCGTTAATCCTGCCGCCGCTGATGTCTCCGGAGGTGGCAATGGCGCCTCTTCTGATCCGGACAGGACGGGTCGTTATGGAGGTGAAGGCCTTGTAGGTCGAGATGGGAGAAGCGAGGGAGGAGCGAGAGGAGGGAGAGGAGATAGTGGCGGCGGAGCGGCTGCGCAAAGTACGAAAGGGAGCGTCAGGGAGTATGCGGAAGAAGGTCGGGGGGGGGGAGAAGGCAGAGGAAGAGGAGGAAGGGGAGGTGGAGGAGGAGGGGGGTTGGGAATCTATGGGAGGAGAAGGACAGAGGAGAGGGAGGAGGAAAGTCTTGACAATCCAGGACGGCGACCAGATCGCGATCCTAATCCTCGCGTCGGTACACTGAACACTCGAGAGGGCGATAGACGACCAGGAGGAGGAAGAGG